AAGATATGAACAAAAGCTCCTTGCTTATTTATAAAACTATACAAAAGATTTCTCTACAGAGTTTTGGTGTAGCGACTTAATGTAGTTTTGTTGAGCTGATTCGTTGATTTCAAATTCTTCCAAGTACTTTTTTTATATCTAAAAAGAAGAGATTCGTTGGAGGGTAGAATAGGAAGCACAAATACAATTGTATTATTCCCAACAATCACGTTGAGACTGGTAGATAATAGTATAAAAGGTTTGTCCTTGTGCCAATCTAGAGAGTAGAGGTCACAATGTACTTTTGTACTTTTATACTCACCATCACACGTAATCCCTTAGTCTTGATCTCCGTCTTCTACGTTTTTAGAGGCTTCTGATATTTTTGTTGATGAAGCATGTTGTAGAAGGATCACAACTGTGTGTCTTCCATAACCTAAGTCATTAGAACCTTATAGAGCTTGTTAAGAGAACTATTGCCTTCTCAGTCTTCAGCACTTGGTCTTCAGAAGAATGTCTTCAGATCTTCAGAACTTGTTCAGCAGAACCTTGTCTTCAGCATCTTCAGAACTTGGAACATCAGAAGTAAAGCTTTAGAAGGCCTCCAAAGTTTCCTTGAATAAGTTACAATCATAAGCTTTTTTACTAACGTTCCTTAGAACCGTTGCATAAGACACATTCCTTAATCTTGAATTAACTTGTAACACACCAATGGTATTCTTCCAGAGTGTTGAGTTTAAAACCCGATGACGTCACACGCCTTCTTACCAGAGTCAGAACCTGTATAGCAAAAGCCACACACTAGACAGAAACTTGTTAGAGTACACAATTGTCTTCAAAGATAACATGTAAAGTCATCATCAAAACATAAGGACGAATGTAAGACCAACTATGCTCTTACAATACGTAATGTTCAATGTATTTTGAAACTTGCTAAAAGTAAAGGAGTGTACGCAGACATGTCCAATAAAAAAGTAGGAAATTATGGGTGCAAAAGAGTTCAACTAGATTTTGACCGAGTTTGGAAAATTCCTTTGAATAAAAGAACAATAATTAGACACACACACATACAGACACACTCAAATGCTATAAAACCTTTTTTAACTCAAGAAAATAAGTAAAGTAGATTACAATTTTGCTTATCCATGCTTGATAGTGCTACCCTAGACCATGATCCAATTTTTAAATGGATGTATAACACAATTCACATTGATGAAAAGTGGTTTTACATGAAATAAAAATCTAAGAATTTTTTACTTGCTCCAAGACGATGAAAAACCAATTCGTACTTGTAAAAGTAAAAATTTTATACCAAAAGTAGTGTTTTTAGTAGCCATAGTCCGACCAAGATTAACTTTCTGAATACTGCATCCGCGTTTCTTTCCAAAACAGAACAATATCATCGAATCAAAGTATCTTGGCATTAAATCCATAATACAAAATAAAACGGGAAACAAAATTACTGCAGACCATAAATTGGAATTTGATATCAAGTCATAAACAGATTCAACAATAACTTACACAAATTAAAACAGAGGCGAAATCAAACAAATGCAGAAAAAAATTGATTTCTAAAGCATTTCTGAATCAAAACCTTAACTTTGTATAAACATTTCCAGACAAATTTAATTGATTCCTAAAATACTACCCATAAAGATTTATATAAAAAATCAAGATAGCTACAGAAAAAGGGGTGGGGGGACAAACAAAAAACATCATAGTAAGAAAAAAAAAACCAAAAGAATTACAGTGGGGAGGGGAAGCTTTACAGTGCAGAGAAAAAGAAAGAGAGGAGGGTGGTGATATTACACTAAGGAAAGAGAGAAAACAAATCTCCAGCTACCGTCCTCTCCACCATGACTTAACATTACCATCGATTAAAGACCCCGCAGCCGCACTCCATATGCAATGAACATCGCACCAGCCTGTAACTTCAAACCGCCGGATGAAGCCTCTGTGTCGACGCCTTGGTCCACCCTATGTCGCTCTGATGAACAACTCCACTCGGCCATGCATCCACCAACGCTGAAACCATGTCATTGGTTGTCGATAAAGGCCCGATTCAGTAACCTTTTCTCTGCTTAATGATTAACAACATAATTTGTTTGCATTATTTTCTCAGATCTGAATGAAAGAGTGAGCAGTAGAAGAGAGTTTTTCTTGAAGGAAGATTTTATAGTAGAAGGGATTATATTTTTTCAAGTTAAGGAGAGAGATCCAAAAGGTTATTATGAGAAGGATAAGTTGGAGTTTTTGTTTCTTTTGCTAATGCAGTCCCGTGAATGTCTAGTTATTAACTTTTTTTATTCAATACGCCATGTATCGACGTGTTGTTGGTCGTTGGATCAGGTCCAATAGGGAATGCAATTTTCCCTTCCTAGTGCATTGATCTTTCTTGTGCATTGATCATGAGCAAGATCTCATTGTCAACATGTATAAAGTCAAAAGACACACACATACACACACATACACACACATACACACACACTCAAATGCTATAAAACCTTTTTTAACTCAAGAAAATAAGTAAAGTAGATTACAATTTTGCTTATCCATGCTTGATAGTGCTAGCCTAGACCATGATCCAATTTTTAAATGGATGTATAACACAGTTCACATTGATGAAAAGTGGTTTTTCATGAAATAAAAATCTAAGAATTTTTACTTGCTCCAAGACGATGAAAAACCAATTCGTACTTGTAAAAGTAAAATTTTTATACCAAAAGTAGTGTTTTTAGTAGCCATAGTCCGACCAAGATTTGATGCACAAGGAAATGAACTATTCTCTAGAAAAATCAGTGTATTTTTTTTTCATCGCATAAGAGTCGGCTAGAAGATCTAGTGTAAATAGACCTGCGGTCACACTTGAGACCAAACCAATACAGTCCATTGATAAATATGTTGTAAAATATTTTTTTACTGAGAAAGTTCTACCAACAATTAAACAAAAATGGCCATGAGAAGAAATGGGTCAGCCGATATTTATTCAACAAGACAATGCAAAAACACACATTGATTATGAAGATGAGGAATTCTTGATGCGACAACCACTGAGTTCTCCCAATTAAAATGTTTTAGATATTGGATTTTTCACTTCAATCCAAGATTTACAACATAAGGAGTCCCCTAACTCTTTTGATGAGCTTGTGGATGCAATTGAGAGGTCATTTCAAGCTTTTGAAACTACCAAATCGAATCGTATATTTTTTACATTTCAATCATATATGATTTAAATCATGAAAGCAAAAGACTCCCACAACTATAAGATTTCACATTTGACTAAAGAAAAATTGAAAAGTGCAAATCAATTACAAACACAATTGAAATGTGATATTGAATTAGTACAAGAAATTCATAGTTATTTAAATTTCACTTGAAGTGTTGAGATTTTCTAAAAATATTTTAAGTCTTGTAATTTTTTTACCAAAGTTGTGTACAATAGGTAAATTAAATAATGGTTGAATCACACTAAATTAATGTGTATAGTAAGTAAATTATGAGAAATAAACTCGCACTTATATTAATTTAAGGCAAGTATGAATGATACATAAATAAAATTATTTAAATATGAATAATGAGAAATAAACTGATAATAAAATTAATTTAAGACTTATTCTTGACTGATCCAATAACTAATATTGGCCCAACTTACTTATGCTTCCAATATGGCCCAATAACTCTTCCCCATCAGCTCTGGTCCTCCGTCGAGCATTCCTGATCGATCGCTCCCCAACCGCAATGACACCAACTCGCCCTGAGCCTTATGCCTGCCCGTTACGGCAACTCCCTCTCTGATCTGCTCGCTACATGTCGAGTAGACAACCAGACTAGAGCTCAAAACGCGTCTGCCGTCATCTCATCCTTGCTTGAAGAAATGACTAATTATGGGCACGACTGTCTGTTTTGACCAGGTCCTGACAATTATCTATTTTCACAGAACCTAATATTTAGGTCAAAAAATAAGAACCAATGGCTACGCGTCGGGAGCGTTATTTAAACCCTCACACTTGTGAGAGTCAGATATCGAATATTCATTCATAAAACCCTAATATCTTTCTTATATCTCTTTGCACTCTTACTTACTAGATCGTCGGAGTTCCTTGCAGGTACACCCCATACTCTCCACAAATTTCCATCCAAGCAAACGTCATCAACTCGGTCCACTTCTAGGTTCTGATCAACCAGTAAGATCACAACTCTTAATATTTTAATAAAATTTAGGAGATAAATTTTACGTAATTTCTTCAACTCCTCTTTGTGTTCTTTTTCATCCGAGTTGTCTTCTTCTTCATCAGGAAATTTGTTCAAATCCAACCATTATCAACATTAATATTTAAATTAACATCTAAATTGTCTTCATCATCTAGAGAATTTAGAACTATCTTTAAATAAACATAGTCTTCATCATCTAGTTCATCTATGAAGTCTTGTACTATTTCTGGAAATGTCAGATCTTCATCCTCTTCACCATCTGAAACAATTTCAAAATCAAAAGAGACTTCTACTACTTCAGAAAATA